AGAGGGTGTGGGGTCCCCCCCCCCCCCCCCCCGGGGAGTGATTTCTCATTTTCTGTCTCTCAGTATCTCTCTGTCTTTCTGGCAAGTGCATATGACCTATAGCAAAAACCTCTCAAGAAACAAAAAACCTAATCTGGGGACCAGCAGATGGTATAATGATTACGTTGCTGGACTTTTACATGACAAATTGTGGTTCAAGTCCTGTACCCAGTATTTTGAAACTCAAATCGCGCAGGTGTGTGTGTGTGTGTGTGTGTGTGTGTGCATGTATGTGTGTGTGTGTATGGCCAAAATCCTAAGAGAATAGAGGAGAAGGGATTGTGGCATGGCTATCCCCCAAGGGGGTGATTTCTCACTTTCTGTCTCTCTGTCTCTCTCTGTCAAGTGTACATACCTTATAACAAAACTCTCAAAAAAAAAAAAAGAAAGAAAGAAAGAAAGGAAGAAAGAAAGAAAGAAAGAACACCTAATCTGCTTATAGTGTTGAAAGATAATTAAAAGACAAAGCCTTTGGGAAATTAGGGTCAGACCCCATGATTGCATTCTGGTGTGTTTATAAAGAGAGGAAATTAGACCATAACAGAGACACATGGACACAGTAACCGTGCTCTGCCCCCGCCCTTGGGATGTGATATCTTGAGACTCTGCAAGACTACCACCAGATGTAGCCCCTGGCTTCAAAACTGTAAGCTAAATGAACCTCTATTTATATAGTCACCTAGTTTCCAGTATTCTGTTATTAGCAACAGAAAAGACTAAAACACCATTGCACATACATCAGTAAACTTCTGTTTTCTACTATTGAGGTTCAAAAAGTTTAAAGATGTTATCTTAGCTCACTACTACAGTAAAACAAACAAAAAACACTAAGGGGTTAACTTCAATGGGTTCAGGAAGAAGATTAAGACATTAAATTCCAAATTCCTTACTAACCATTTAAAAAATATCTAAAATGAGTTTAAGAAAACAAGTTTAAATGAAATGCTTCATAGAACTGAGAACGGTTTACATATTAAAGCAGCACCTGACTATCTACAGGACCCAGGATAGAGAGCCTCTCTGTCTTGCCCATTTCAGTTTCCTATAATAGTTATGTAATCGCTAACAGTTTTTTCTTTTTCTTAATGAAATTTAGTCTAAAATTAAATTTTACCCATAAATATTACATCCATATGTCTCAACTGAAACACAAAAATCTGACCCAACTAACCTGTTGAGTACATGATTATTCTATGTCAGTGGGTCAAAGACTTCAGGATCCTTCAGAACCATCTGGAAGGCTAATAAAATCCAGACTGCCTGGTCTTGTCCCTGGAGTTTTTGATTCAGAAGGTGTGAGGTGGGTCCTGAAAGTCTACATTTCAAACAAGTTCCCAGGCAATACTGATGCTGCCAGTTCAGGCACCACTTAGAGAATCACCAACTGAGAATCTGGCCATGACTTGAGAGATTCAAGAACTCACAAAAAGGCAGTAGAAAGTAGTGTGCAAAGGCAGGAGTGAACAGTAATATCATTTATTTTGGTAAAAATGTATAACTAAATGTTTTAGAAATAGCCTCAAAGACTTAAAGCTCTTAGTCAATGAATATTTGCTTTGTCTGAAGCACTGCATTAATGCATGGACAACAGAGATGCATACGGAGACCTGATCTACCTCAGTGGGGGAAGTGGAGTGTACTCTTCCATCTAATAGTGCTGGTCTTTGCTGTTGCCGTCTCCTAGGGCTGTATAACATATGGTTGTTAGCTAGAACTAGAACCCAGCTGTAGAAACAGTGAATAAGAGAAACTAAAAGTATTGAGAAGTAAATAATGATAATAGACAAATCAGCATTTTAAAAATGTTCTGTTACAAATGATTTCGTATACACATGACATATCTCCTTTCATAAGCACCTTATTTTTGTGTCCCACAGACCTGTGCTGTATCACTGATCTGTTCCCTAGCCACATGTGGTTGTTTAAACTTAAATGAACCAAAATTAACTAAAAACTTTAAATTAAAATTAAATTAAAAATACACTTCCTTTAATACACTGTTCACATTATGAATACTCAGTAACCTCATGTGATTAGGAGCCAGAACACTAAAGAGAGCTCTTAAAAATCATGATCATTATTGCAGGAAGTTCTTTTAGATGGCACTGCCACAGACCCTGGCACAATGTCATGAACATGGAATTGCTCAGTAAGCGCCTGCTCCTCAATATCTGGAGACGACATACGAATTCAGAGTCAATCTGCAAAGACACCTTTGTGAACACAGCATAACCACTGTTTGCTGTGTAAGAAGGTCCTCAAAATTACATGGGAAATAAAAAAAAAACAAACAAACTACATATGAATTTCAAAATATTGTTGCACCAAAATAAACCCATACCTTAACCCATTTTTCAACAAACTTTTTAAAATCCCTTGCATTTCCCAATTTGGTTAAACTGTGTATCTTTTTTATTTATTTATTTATTTATTTATTTATTTATTTATTTATTTGCTATAGGGTGCATGTACTTGCCTATTTATTTATTTATTTATTTATTTATTTATTTATTATAGGGTGCATGTACTTGCCAGAAAGACAGAGACAGAGAGACAGAAAGTGAGAAATCACCCCCTGGGGTATGGCCACACCTCAATCCCCTCTCCTCCAGTTTCCTCTCAGTATCTTGGGCATGAACGCGCGCACACACACACGTCCAGGGTGAGTTTAAGCCACAGGGCCCGCGACTCAAACTGTGCTTGACTACATGGGAGTCCAGTGACATAGCCATTACACCAACTGCTGGTTCCTAAACTGCATGTCTTACTGGTGTATCTGTTACCCAATTTTTCTAACATCTGTAGATTAAGAACATTCCCATTGTTGGATACATGAATAGCTCCCAATTAAATACTGTGGGCCAACCTCGTCTATTATTCTCCAATAAGAACTTCACATATCCTCTAATTTAATTCTAACAAAGACTTAGGACTACCTATTAAATACATTTTTTTTTTGAGAGGTCTTCGCTATAGAGCGCGTGCGCTCGCCAGACAGACAGAGAGAGACAGAGAGACAGAAAGCGAGAAATCACCCCCCAGGGGGGATGGCCATACCGCAATCCCTTCTCCTCCATTCTCCTCTTGGGATCCTGGGCACGCACGCACATGTGCCCGGCATTAGTTTTAAGCCACCAGGTCCGGGACACGAACCACGGTTGACTACGTGGGAGTCCAGCAACATAGCCAATAATTGCTGGTCCCCCTATGAAGTACATTTGTTTAAAGAAGTTTTTGCCTTAGGGCACATGCATTCGCTGGGGAGAGAGGGACAGAGACAATAAGAAGGAAAGTGAGAAGTGTGACCTTGCAGGCCACACCACAATCCCTTCTCTTCCATTCTCTTCGCAGTATCTTGGGCAGCCATACACACACACGTACACATACCCATTGTGAGTTTCAAGCCACCAAGTTTGGGACTCAAACTGCAGTTGGCCAAGTGGGAGTTCGGTGATATAATTGCTATGCCATTTGTTGACCCCAAGTGACATATATTTTTTTAAGAGATGAGGTAACAAAAGCTCAGTAACATTGGGCACCTTGCACCCATATAACTCATAAAGTCAAAGTTTCAACTCTAAGTTAGGTCTGTCAATAGGAACTCTTTCCATTGTGCATGGTCCACATTGTAGAAGACAGCTCCATGTACATAATCGTGTACTTAGTTGTTAACTAAGTCCATGGCAAAGCACTATGGATTTCAGCAAGCACATAAATTCAATCTATCAGACATATGCAATAGCATGTAAATAAATTAAGCAGCAGCTTCATTTCTTAAAAAAAAAGTATATATCTTTATTCAAGGCATGAATACAATAATTCATTCAATTGTTAAACATAAATATCTTCTCCAAAAAGAAAAACTGAAAAGGTAATTATCTTTATGAATTATTTGTTCATATATAGTCAAATTTGCACTTACCTTGTTGAGCAGCATATGCCTGACTAGCTGAAAGGACTTTTGTTTGTCTTGGATTATACCTTGTTCCCTCTGGAAAAATTACAAGATACATCTGTGGGGCATAAAGGAAATTTATTTTGTTTTCTGTGATCTTGTTGACTGTTGTTAACTTATGTATGCTAACTCTTTTAATGCTAAAATAGTTATTTCCAACAGTGGGAAGAATATGTACTTATTTATATATGAACTTCATTTCAAGTAGAGCAACCGAAACACAAAAATACAATTAAATCTGAACATAACATGAATTTTCTATAAAATGCAGTCCTACATTCACTGGTAGGTCAGTCATTAAGAATCCAACAACATTTCTAATTGCATACTAATAGTCGCTCATTAAAAATTTAGCCATAAAATGCTAACTCATACAAGGACTCAATTAGAAAAGCTGACCCCTTCTGTATCCTGTAACACAATATTTTTTTAAAGGTGCAAACTTTGAAATTGATGTGCTTAGGGCCAGCAGTTGGCATGGTGGTTAAGGGTGCTGGACTTCCACATGGCCGCCGCAGTTTGAGTCCCGGACATTGTGGTTTGCTTTCTCTTTCCTTCTCTCTCTGACTCTGTCTCTCTCTGGTCGAGTTAAAAATAAATAAATAAATAAAGTTAAATAAAATAATTATTTAAAAAAAAATTGATATCCTGGGACCAGCAGTTAGCATAATGGCTATGTCGCTGGACTCCCACGTAGACGACCGCGGTTTGTGTCCCGGACCCGGTGGCTTAAAAACTGTGCGATTAAGCCAACTCACACTTGGACATGTGTGCCCAAGATCCCAAGAGGAGAATGGAGGAGAAGGGATTGTGGCATGGCCATGCCCCGTGGGGGGTGATTTCTCACTTTCTGTCTCTGTCTCTCTGGAGAGTGCGTGCGCCCTATTGCAAAAACCTCTCCAAAAAAAAAAAAAAAGTATATCCTTAAGTGTCAACACTAAAAATACAGCTCATTTGAGAAAAATCTTAAGTCTCTAAATTTCTACCATATAAAAGGAAACAACTTCAGATTTTTTTTTTTTTGAGAGATTTTCATTGTAGGGCGCGTGCGCTCGCCAGACAGACAGAGAGAGACATAGAAACAGAAAGCGAGAAATCACCCCCCAGGGGGGATGGTCACGCCGCAATCCCTTCTCCTCCATTCTCCTCTCGGGATCTTGGGCACGCACGCACACGTGCCCGGCGTGAGTTTTAAGCCACCGGGTCCGGGACACGAACCGCGGTCGACTATGTGGGAGTCCAGCGACATAGCCATTACGCTAACTGCTGGTTCCCACAACTTCAGATTTTAAAAGCTTCATTCATTATTTCTATTTTATAGAGCTTACTTAATACTTTTTTTTAGAGAGAGAAATTTTTGCTATAGGGCACATGCATTTGCTGGAGAGAGAGAGAGACGGGGGGATGGTCACGCCACAATCCCTTCTCTTCTATTCTCTTCTCAGGATTTTGGGCATGCACACATACATGCTCAGCATGAGTTTTAAAGCCACTGGGTCCAGGATTCAAACTGCAGTTGACTATAAGGGAGTCCAGTGATGTAAGCATTATGTCATCTGCTGGTCCCACTTGATGCTTTTTAAATGACTTTGTAAGCAGCCTCAAGTTTGTTACATAAATTGAAATAATGTATTTATATAATATATAAAAGAGAATATCAAGTCAGAGTTTTACTAAGTAATCGATTAGTCTAAGCTTTTACACTTACCTTCTCTAGAAAATAAAAAAAGAAACATTAAAACTATAAAGTGGGTCTGTTAGTGGCATGGTGTTGAGGCATGTGTATCCCACAAGGTCAACTGCAGTTCAAGTTCTGGACTTGGCAATTGGAAAGTATATGCAGGTGTGCCCAAAATACTGGGAATAGAATGGAGGGGAAGGGATTGTGGCATGGCCATCTCTCTTAAGGGCGCTTTTTCACTTTCCCTCTCTCTTTCTCTTTCTCTCTCCCTCTCCCTCTGGCAAACAAACATGCCCTACAGCAAATTTATTGTAAAAAAAGATTTTTTAAAAAATCTATACACTCAATGACTCAGCCTTGGTGGCACAAGAGTACTGAACTACAACGCTGGAAGCCACATCGCAGACCAAGGATGCAGATGCCCAGCTCAGTCTACCTAAAATGTGCTGGACACATGCCTGTGCCCAACATCCTGATGAGCTAAGGGACAGGGAAGAATGATCCAGTTGTGAACAAATCCTGTCAAGAGTGTCTCTCTCTCTCTCTCATAAGCATGCACACGCTCTCTATCATAAATAAACTTAAGAAAAAATAAACTATATAATCAAAAAACTCCTAACTAAAGAACTGAGTTATAAAATTTATATATTTTTAATTGAAAGACAAAAATAAAATAGTCATACTAAGTATTTTCAAATATAGACAACAGAGAACAGGATAGAAGAAGTTTATGTGAAAAAAACTTAGGTTCATTTAACCTATTCTCAATAGATCCTAGACAAAACTGTCTACCTACATATATCTGGTACACAAGCATACCCTTAACTGAATAACCTATGATTATAAACTGCTACTTGATACGCCTATGTGAAAGTCTGAATTTTCATTAAATAAACATAATTAAACCTTCCAAAGTTTCATGTGAATAACTGGTATTATAATAATACCTCTGCAATTCTGCATTTTTGGCTTCAATGTAAATATATAAGCTTTTTATTCATTCATATAATAGTTTTCAGAACTTATTACCGTTGCCTAACTTAGACATTAATACATTGTTATGTATCTTTATAGTTGATAGTAAAGACTGACCAGATCTGTTAAGAAAATACAGAAAAATAGGTAAAGTTTAGGGAAAAAAAATCTACGATTCCAGCAACTAAAATGAAAAACAGAAAGAAAAATAATAAAGCTAGCTCCCAAAACTGTAAATTTATTTTCACAAGAATGTATTTTATACATTCAAATAATGAAAGCAAATACTGATGGCTATTAGCTTTTATCTCAATCATGTATAAATAAAATTATTTATGACTTCTGGGGTACTAAATAATAACTCAAGTGGTATTACTTTCTGCATCTAAGATAGGTAACTTAAAAGTACTCTGACAGCAAGAAAGCAAGAATGAACTACTAGCTAGGGTTCCCTTGAGAAATATCTTTGTATACTTTTTATGTGTCAGGTAGTATACACAGAATAACAAGACAAACTTGGTCCTTCCTCTCATGGTGTTCACAGACAAGGAAAGAAAAAAACACATTCAACGAGTAAGTAAAAATAGGTAAATACATATTATATGACTGAAGAAAAAGAGGCTGTTATGAAGAAGAATAACAAGAAGAAATGAGAAGAGGTTGTTTGGGGCTCAGGAAATTATATCCTAAAGTGAAGGCCTCAGAATCAATTTCTCTCTGACCTTCTCCTGCCCTCTGGTCTTCACCCCTCAATCTCCTTCAAATCAAGCCATAGAAACTAGAAATGTTCTTTCCCAAGGCAGGTCATAAAGACCAGAACCCCTTTTCCCCCCAAAGTCAGCCATGAATCCTGAAACTATTGCCTTTCTGTATAAGACTTGACCATAAAGAAATTCTCTGATCTACCCTGTCTGATAATAGGGAAACAAAACCTTCATCCCAAAGGGGTCCTGCTCTATTTCTGTGAGAAAGGAATACCGTACAGAAAGGCCAGGAAGGACCTGAACAGACAGCTCTACTAGGTTTCCCTGTTCGTTCTGTTCCCATTAGCTCATACTCTTTTTGTCCAGTCACATTTCTTTCAGGCTGTCCCTGCTTCATCAAGTCTAAGCATAAATCAGATACGTCCTCGGTATCTTTGGGCCTCCAAAAGACTTCTATGTACATATATATATATGTATGTGTATATATATGTATATGTATATATGTATATATATATATATATATATATATATATATATATATATATATATATATATATATATATATATATATATATATATATATATATATATATATATATATATATATATATATATATATATATATATATATATATATATATATATATATATATATATATATATATATATATATATATATATATATATATATATATATATATATATATATATATATATATATATATATATATATATATATATATATATATATATATATATATATATATATATATATATATATATATATATATATATATATATATATATATATATATATATATATATATATATATATATATATATATATATATATATATATATATATATATATATATATATATATATATATATATATATATATATATATATATATATATATATATATATATATATATATATATATATATATATATATATATATATATATATATATATATATATATATATATATATATATATATATATATATATATATATATATATATATATATATATATATATATATATATATATATATATATATATATATATATATATATATATATATATATATATATATATATATATATATATATATATATATATATATATATATATATATATATATATATATATATATATATATATATATATATATATATATATATATATATATATATATATATATATATATATATATATATATATATATATATATATATATATATATATATATATATATATATATATATATATATATATATATATATATATATATATATATATATATATATATATATATATATATATATATATATATATATATATATATATATATATATATATATATATATATATATATATATATATATATATATATATATATATATATATATATATATATATATATATATATATATATATATATATATATATATATATATATATATATATATATATATATATATATATATATATATATATATATATATATATATATATATATATATATATATATATATATATATATATATATATATATATATATATATATATATATATATATATATATATATATATATATATATATATATATATATATATATATATATATATATATATATATATATATATATATATATATATATATATATATATATATATATATATATATATATA